GTGCTGGTGGGTGTGTTGAGGTACTGGTGGGGGTACTGGGCTGCTGGGTGATAGCATGGGTCCTTGTGGGGATACTGGAGTGCTTGTGGTTGTGCTGGTGTGGTGGCAGGTGTGCTGAGGTACTGCGGGTGGCTGGGGTGTTGGGTGTTAGCAGGGGTGCTCTGGTTCTGGCGGGGTGTGGGGATGCTGGTGTTCTGGCAGGAGTGCTGAGGTGATGGTGGGGATGCTGGGTGTTGGGTGCTAGGGGTGTGCTGCTGGGTGGTGTTTGGATGCTGGTGGGGGTGTTAGGGTGCTGGTGGGATGTGCCGGTTGTGGTGTTGTGCTGGGTGCTAGCAGGGTGCTGGGAGGTTTTGGGTACTAGCAGGTTGGATGGTGGGGGTGTTGGGTGATAATGGGGTTACTGGGGTGCTGGTGGGGGGTGCTGGGGTGCTGGCAGGGTGCTGAGTGATAGCATGGGTGCTGGTGTGAGGTTCTGTGTGCTAGTGAGTGTCCTGGGGGTGCTGGAGGGCCTGCTGGGTGCTGTCAGAGTTCTGGGCGCTAGAGGTGACACTGGGTACTGGCAGGGGTTGTGATGTGGGTGCTGGGGTGCTGGCGGGGTGTTGAAGTGCTGGTGGGGGTTCTGGGATGCTAGTGGGAGTACTGGGGTGCTGGTGGGTTTGATGGGGTGCTAGTGGGGATGCTGGGGTGCCCCGAGGGTGCTGCAGTGCTTGTGGGGGTGCTAGGGTGCTGGGTGCTATTAGGTCCTGGCATGGGTACTAGGGTGCTGCATATTAAGGGATGCTGGTGGGATGCTGGGGTGCCAGTGGAGGTGCTGGGGTGCTGGCAGGTGTGCTGGGGTGCTTATGGGGTGCTGTGGTACTAGAGGGGTGCTGGGAGCTGGCAGGATTGCTGAGGTCTGGTGGAGGTGCTAGGGTGCTGGGTGCTATGCTAGCAGGGGTGCTTGCTTGCAGGACTGCTGAGGTGCTGGTAGGGGTACTGGGGTGCTAGGTGATAGCATGGGTCCTTGCGGGGGTGCTGGGGTGCTTGTGGAGGTGCTGGGAGGGGTGTGGAGGTGCTTGCCAGGGCGCTGGGTACTAGCAGGGTGCTGGTGGGGGTGTTGGGATGCTGGCGGGGGTGCTGGGGTGCTGTGGAGCTAGTGGGGGTGTTGGGTGCTGGAAGGGATGTTGTGCTAGAGGGGATACTGAGGTGCTGGTGGGGGTGCTGGGGTGCTAGTGGGATGATGGGTGCAGGGGGGGGTGCTGAGGTGCGGGTGGGGGTTGCTGGATGCTGGCAATGTTGATAGTGTACTGGGTACTTGTAGGGGTGCTGGTGCTAGTACAGGAGCTAGCGGGGGTGCTAGGGTGATGGATGCTAGCAAGGGTGCTGATGGGGTGTGCTGGGATGTGGATGGGGTGTTAGGGTGCTGGTGGGTGTTCTGGGGTGCTAGTGGGGGTGCTGGGGTGCTGGGTGCTRGSRYCCCAGCACCCCCACTAGCACCCCAGAACACCCATGCTGATGGGGTGTGCTGGCATACTGGTGGGAGTGTTAGGGTTCTGGCGGGAGGGTTTGGGGTACTAGTGGGGGTGCTGGGTACTAGCAGGTTGCTGGAGGGTGGTGCTGGGATGCAGATGGAATTGTTAGGGTGCTGGTGGGGGTGCCTGGTGCTAACAGGGTGCTTGTGAGGGTGCTGAGGTGGTGGTGCTGGGGTGCTGGGTACTAGCAGCAGTGCTGGTGGGGGTGCTGGGTTCTAGCAGGCCTGCTCGGGTGCTGGTGGGGGGTGTTGGGGTGCTTGTGGGGGTACTGGGGTACTGAGAGCAGTGCTGGGGTGCAGAAGGGGTGCTGAGGTGTTGGTTGGGGTATTGGTTTGCTGAGTGTTAGCAGGGGTGCTGGCAGGTGGTGCTGGGATGCCGGCAGGGGTTTTAGGGTACTGGTAGGGGGTGCTGGGGTGGGTGCTGGGATGCTGGGTGCTAACAGGTTGCTGGGTGGCTGGCGAGGTGTTAGGGTGCTGGTGGGGGTGCTGGGGTGCTTGTGGCAGTGCTGGCAGAGTACTGGGGTGCTGGGTGATAGCACAGGTGCTGGTGGGGTGTGCTGGGGTGCTTGGGTGTTGGTGGGATGCTTGTGTGGTAGTGGGGTGCTGAGGTGCTGGTGGAGGTGCTGGGGCATTGGGTGCTAGCCATGGTGCTGGCAGGAGGTGCTGGGATGCAGGTGGAGGTGCTGGGGTCCTGGGTACTTGCAGGGTGCTGACAGGGAGTGCTGGGGTGCTGGCGGGAGTACTTGGTGCTGAGTGATAGCAGGGATGGGCAGGGATGCTGGGGTGCTGATAGCAGGGATGCTGGCAGGGGTGCTGGGGTGCTAGCAGGTGTGCTAGTGGGGGTGCTGGGGTGTTAGCAGGTGTGCTAGTGGGGGTGCTGGGGTGTTGGTGGTGGTGCTGGGGTGCTGGCAGGGTGCTCAGGTGCTGGCCGGGGGTGCTGCAGTACTAGTGGCGGGCGGTGCTGGGGTTTGGTGGGGTTGCAGGGGTGCTAGCGGAGGTGCTGAGGTGCTGGTGGGGGTGCTGGAGTGTTGGGTGCTATTGGGGTGTCTTGGGGGCTGCTGGGGTGCTGATGGGGTTGCTAAGGTGCTAGGTGCCGGCAGGGGAGCTGGTGGGGGTGCTGAGGTGCTGACGGGGGTCCTGGGGTGCTGGGTACTAGCAGTGGTGCAGGAGGAGGTTCTGGGTACTAGCAGGAGTTCTGGGGTGCTGGTGGGGGTGCTGGGTACTAGCGGGGTGTGCTGGGTGCTAGCAGGGTGCTGGCGGGGGTACTGAGTTGCTGGTGGTGGTGCTGGGATGCTGGGTACTAGCATAGTGCTGGCGGGGGTGCTGGATGCTAGCAGGAGTGCTCCAGTGCTGGCAGGGGTGTTGGGGTGCTTGTGGGGGTGCTGGGTTTCTGGCAGAGGTGCTGGGGTGCTGGCAAGTGTGCTGTGGAGGGGTGGGGTGTTCAGATGGTGATGGGGTTGCTGGGGCCTGGGAGGTGCAGGGGTGCTGGCAGATAGTTCTGGGATAATGGTGAGGGTGTTAGGGTACTGGTGGGAGTGCTGGTGGGAGTGCTGGGGTGCTGGGTGCTAGCAGGGTGATGGAGGGGGTGCTGGGATGCCAGTGGGGGTGTTAAGGTGCTGGCAGGGTTGCTGGGTTGCTTGTGGGGGTGCTGGCTGTGTACTGGGTGATAGTATGGGTGCTGGTGGGGTGTGGTGGGGTGCTTGTGTTGGTGCTGGGGTTCTGGGGGGGGTGCTGGTGTGGCGGGGGTGGAGTGCCAGGTGCTAGCAGGGGCGCTGGTGGGAGGTACTAGAATGCTGGCGATGGTGTTAGGGTGCTGGGTGGGTGTGGTGGGGTGCTAATGAGGGTGCTGGTGGGGTTTCTAGTGTGCTAGGGTTATACTTGTGGGGTGCTGGTCACTGACGGGGGTGCTGAGGTGTTGGAAGGGGTGCTGGGGTGCTGGTGGGGGTACTGGGGCACTGGCTGGGGTGCTGAGTTGCTGGTGGGGTGGTGGGTACTAGCAGGGGTGCTGGCGGGGCTGCTGAGGTATTGGTGGGGGTGCTAGGGTGCTGGCGGGGGTTGCTGGGGTACAAAAGGGTTGCTGGATACTGGTGGGGGTGCTGGGGTGCTAGTGGGGGTCTGGGTCCTGGTGGGGTGCTGAGGTGCTGGTGGGGGTGCTAGGGTGTTGGGTGCTAGCAGGGGTGTTGGCAGGGGTGCTGTGGTGCTGGGGGTGCTGGGTGATAGTGGGGGTACTGAGTGCTGGCGTGAGTGCTGAGATGCTGCTATGGGTTCTAGGATGCTAGCAGGGGTGCTGAGGTGCTGGGTACTAGCAGCATTGCTTGTGGGGGTGCTGGGTGCTAGTGGGGTTGCTGGGGTGCTGTCAGAGAGTCTGGGGTGCTTGGAGCCATCAGGGATGCTGAAGTGCTTGATGCCTGCTGGGGTGCTGGCTGGGGGGTACTTGGGTGCTAGTGGTGTGTGCTGGGGTGCTGGCGGGTGTGCTGAGATGCTGGCAGTGGTGCTGGGGTGCTGGGTACTAGCAGTGGTGCTGGCGGGGTGCTGGGGTGCTGGGTGCAGTTAGGGTGCTGGCAGGGGTGCTGAGGTGCTAGGTACTAGTGGGGGGCTGGCGGGGGTGCCGGATTGCTGGTGGGGTACTGGGGTGCTTGGTGCCAGCAGGGGTGCTGGCTGGGCGTGTGTCAGTGTTGGTGTGGGTACTGGGGTGCTGGGTGATAGCGTGGGTGCTGGCATGGGTGCTAGGGTGCTACATACTAGCAGGGATGCTGGCAGGTTCCTGGGTGCTAGTGAGGGTCCTGGGGCACTTGCTGAGGTGCTGGGATGCTGGTTGGGTTTCTGTGGTGCCAGTGAGGGTGCTGGGGTACTGGCAGTGGTGCTGGATGTTGGTGGGAGTGCTGGGCACTGGAGGTGACACTCGATGCTGGCAGGGTTGCTGGGGTGCTGGTGGGTGTGCTGGGTGCTAGCAGGAGTGCTGGCAGGGGTGCTCAGGTGCTGGCAGGTGGTGCTGGGATGCTACTAGGTGGTCCTGGGTGCTAGCGGGGGTGCTAGTGGCAGATGCTGTATGCTGGTAGAGGTGCTGTGGTGCTGACAGGAGGTTACTAGGTGCTGGCTACAGTGCTGGGGTACTGGCTGGGGTACTGGTGCTTGTAGGGGTGCTGGCAGGGTGCTGGATGCTAGTAGGGGAGCTAGCGGGGGTGCTGGGTGCTAGTGGGGGTGTTGGGGTTCTGGTGCCCTGGCTGAGGCGCTGGGGTGCTGGTGCTGGGGTGCTAGCAGAGGTGCCGGTGGGTGCTGGGGTGTGGTGGGGGGTGCTGGCGGTGCTGGCCGGGGTTGGGTTGCTGGGGGCTGGGGTGCCTGGCACTGGGGGCGTGCTGGGGGCTGGGGTGCCGTGTGCTGGCAGGGGTGCTGGGGGCCGCTGGGACACTGGTGCTGGGGTGCTGGGCGCTGGGGGGGGTGCTGGGCGTGGCCGGTGGGCCGAGCGGCTGACGCACTGCCCCGCCCCCAGATCTGAGCGAGGGTCCGGCGGGCAGTGGTTTGCTGGAGCACCTGAGGAACTGCGCGGAGGCCTTCTTCTTGGGCTTGCAGGTCCGCTGCCTGCCCTCGGTGGCGGCCGCGTCCCTTCACTGCTGCTCGCGTCCCAGCCAGGACTCGGACAGGCTCCAGCTGCACACAGGTGGGCGAGCGCGGCGGGGCGCAGCCTCCGCCACTTTGCATGGGGCCCTTTCCAGGAGGCAGAGGGCGGGAGGGGGACCCCCGGGGGAAGGCAGGAATCCCTTTCCCCTCTTTGCTGGGGGAGCCTCTCTTTCCCAGCCTTGGGCGGGGGAGGGTGGGGCAGAGTTGCCTTCCCTCTCCCGCGAGTGTGGGGCGGGACTCCCAGCCGCGAGTCCACGGGGAAGCCCCAGGGCTCGCCAGGCGGGTGAAGCGAGCCCTCCTCCGGCTGCCCGCTGTATTGCACAGCCTCGCTCCAGCCTTTAGTCTTGCGTGCGTCCAGAAGACCCCTCCCTGCCCCCCGCAAATCCCCGGGGTTGCTGGCAGCTCAAGAGCGGCGGGGGGGTGGGGCACAGATGGACCGGAGGCTCTCAGATGCGTGGGACAGCCCGACACAAGTCTAGGGGGCCCCAGCAGGGCTGGGGCTCTAGCAAATGCCACGTCTGGGGTGCACCAGGGTCTTTGGTCAGCGGCGGGAACCCCCAGCCGTGCTCTTCCTTCCCACTCGGCGCTCTACCTGGATGTGCAATACCTCCCCTGTGCGTTACCTCCCCTCGGTCTGGTACCTTCTCTGTGCCCCTGCTCCAGCCACACGTCATTCCCTTGCGGATCCCCCAACCGCACCATGGACGCCGTGACGCCCGCGCCCGGAATTCTGCATTTCACTTCTCCTCTTGTGCATTTCTATAGTTTCTTGCGGGTTCTTCCTCAAACCAGCAGTGCCACTTCTAAAAATACCGACTTCCTGCTGGAATTTAAGCTCTGTATTCAAACCATGAACGCGGCTGCTGGGAGGGCTGATTCCACCACCTGGAGCGCCCTGGTGGTCTCTGCTCGCTCTGCCTTGACCGCCTTGCTGTCTGCATCTCTTTTGTTATTTTTCATCGTTAGCCATCTTAATTGGAAAGTTAGTTTAACTTTGAGAAGAACTCGTGGCCTGGGAGGATGTGATCGGCTCTAGGGAGGATTCTGGATTTCCTCTGCCAAGTACGGGCAGGTGGTGGCTGAGACAGAGGTGGGCAGTTTTTCGGGACCACCCACGGCCCTGGGAGGCCAGCCTGCACTCCCCCCACCCAGACCAGTCTCAGAAGCAGCTCAGCCTTAGCTTCCTGCTCCAGTCCTCCCCCATCCCTGTTCTAATTTCTCATCAGGTCTCTGGTTTTTCTTAAATCCTGTTTACGGAGGCATAATTCATGTGTAGGGAAATTGTCCCTTTGTAACAGCTCTGTGAGCCTTGACGTCCACACCTGTAACCTCGTCGCCACTGTGACCAGTAGAAAAGTTTGCTTTGTACCCCCCGCCCCAGGATGTGCATGGTGTCCCCTGTGGCCATCGCCACCCCACCTAGGACACTTTAAGAAGCTTTTTTGTGTTTCACTCAGCTTATCTGGTTCTCCTCCGTAGGAGGCGTGCTCACAGTCCCCAGTGTGCATTACAGGGAGCCCATTATGGGCACGGACCTTTCAGGGGGACAGGGAGCTCTTGGCTGGGGCACGTGCCGTCCTGATGCCGGTGGGTCCTTCCTGTGTGCCAGGTTTCAGGTTTGGCCTCTGAGACCCTCTTCTGGTCCTAGACCTTGTTGACCCTGCCTTTGCCCCTGCCTATGGGACACGGCCCTGCTCGAGGCTCGGTCCTGGACTGCTGTGTCTCTACCCACCACCATCATCTTCCGGTCTCTCTGATCCTCTGCCTCTTCTAAAGACCCTAATGACTGCCCTGAGCCCACCCAGAAAATCCAGAGTAACTTCTGGTTTTTAAGGCCTTTAATTTAATCACGTCCACAGCGTCCCTGCTGCTTTGAGGGGACTCGGATACATGGGTCTCTGGGGCTCCTGCCGTATCCGGTGGCTGCCAGGGCACTGTCCCCTGAACACTGGTCCCATTGGTCAAGTGGCCTTCCTCGTGTCCCCACTGGGATGTATCTGGGCCTCTCAACTACCCCGTCCGAGCCAGCTCTTCTGAGTTTTGGAAATGGAGACCCTGACGGCCTGCTCACATGACCCCGGCTGCCTGACCCTGAGGCCCAGGCCTTGTGGCTCCTGCTTTGTGTTGTGCAGTGTGGCTGCTGGGACTTCCCCACCTCGGACCACGAGCTTCTTGTGGAATGTGGGCAGCTTGCACCGGACTTAGGGAGGGGCTGGCCACAGGCAGAGGAAGAGAACAGCCGGGAACCTGGGCTGGGGAGACGGGGACCCGGCCGCCCCCTCACTGCCCCTCGGGCCCTCTCCCCTCGCAGACGGCATCCTGTCTTTCCTGAAGAACAGCAAGCCGGGGGACGCGCTGTGCGTGCTGGGCCTCACGCTGTCCGACCTGTACCCTTGCGAGGCCTGGAGCTTCACTTTCGGCAAGTTCCTTCCAGGCCACGGTGAGTCAGCGCCCCGGCAGCCCCTGCCCCAGCCCTGCTGGGGGCGGTGGGTGGGCGCACCCCGGGGTGCAAAATGGGGCAGCCAGTGCATGGGAGCCCCAACTCTCTTGGGGAAGATGACACCCTACCCGGAAACTGCTCCAGAATGCACACCCCCAAGTCCTGCCTCCTCTCGGGCAGGGACCTCACAGTGGCCTTTGTGGAGGCGCGCTGGCAGGGCCGGGCCTCCAGGACCCATGCATCCCGAGGACGGGGAGGCTTTGCTCCCAGGCTCCCCGTGAGATGACGCCTTGTGTCTCTGTTTCTCCCCAGAGGTAGGCGTCTGCAGCTTTGCCCGGTTCTTGGGGGATCTCTTGCCATCGGGACCCCGCGCCTCTAATCCAGCCTTGGTGGAGGTGGCCACAGACGACCCTGTGACTCCCGGGCAGGACGGAGGTCCAACTGTGTGCTTCAGTGCCCTGGGGATGGTCCAGTGCTGCAAGGTAGGCAGGGAGGCCAGGGCGTGGGGTCAGTGCATGGGGTGGTGTGGGGAGGAGATGGGGCAGCAAGAGGATGGAAGGCCTGGGGGTTCTGGTGAGTTCCAGGCCGCTGCTGAGGATGGGCAATCAGCCAGAAGGGCCTGAGCGCTCCAGACAGCCCCATGCTGAAGGCCAGGCTGTCCAGAGCACAGACAACAGGGCTTGGAGCCGCCCATACCTTGGCCTGAGCTCATGCAGCTGGGAGTAGGCAGAGTTGGGGTGTGAACCTGTTTGCTGCCCCAGCTCCCGTGCTGGGTGGGCTCTGGGTGCTCCAGAGCTGTCCATCTGTGCCCTGTGCCGTTGGGAGCAGGGGCGAGGGCACAGGGCCTGCTTCCTGGCCATGGGGGCTCCTGTGGGCGCGGACCCCAGCATTGGGGGCTTGGCTGGTGGCCGGGATCACGGCGGCAAGGGCAATGACGCTATGCTATGTGGTCTCTCTCAGGTCACGTGTCATGAGCTCTGCCATCTCCTGGGGCTGGGGAACTGCCGCTGGCTGCACTGCCTCATGCAGGGGGCGCTCAGCCTGGACGAGGCCCTGCGGCGGCCCCTGGACCTCTGTCCCATCTGTCTGCGGAAGCTGCAGCACGTCCTCGGCTTCAGGCTCGTCGACAGGTACAAGGTGAGCCGCCAGCGTGCTGGCAGGGAGAGGGCATCTGAGCTCCCTAGCAGGCCTCGTGCATGGGGCTCAGGGGGCAGCGGGCCGAGAGTTGGGCCCTGTGGGCAAGTGAACAGACCCCTGTGCCAACCTCCTGGCCTCCTGCTGGTGCTGGGCAGTGTTCACGGCCCTCGCTGTGTGCCTGGCCCACGGTCTGCACCCAGTGATGGGAGCTGTGGCCATCGGGTTGCTGCTCTGTGGGAGGGAAGAGGGGCAGATGGTTTTTCGTTCTCAGGCCACGCTCTCTGAGCGCTGGTCAGGTGCTGGGCCTATCCTAACACTTCCTGCATCTGCTCAGGGCGCCTCTGGCATCGCACAGGGCCCAAGCTGCCCCCCCCCCCCCCAGCTTCTCCCCAGGCTGCTAGGCCGGCCCCTGGGAGGAGGAAGCCATTGCAGGCGCTGGGGAGGTGGCCGGGCCAAGCTCTCAGGTCAATGCTGCCCTCTGCTGTCGCCTCAAGGCACTGCCCGCAGCAGGGTCCCAGGTGCGCCTGGGGGCCCAGGGAGAGGGGGTCACCGCTGTCCTGGGGGAGGCCGTAAGTGGTGGTTTTCTGGTGAAGGTGGGGGATGCCAGACTCCATTTTGGACAGGTTCTCAGGCAGGAGGGAGTCTCTGACCCGGCCCCTCTGGGCAGGAGGGCCTGCATCTCTCAGGCTCCTAGGAGTGCTGCTGAGCAGGGACCCCACTTTGACGACTGCTGACCTAGCAGACTGGGTGTTCCCAAGTTCCAGAGCTGCCTCCCGATGCAGATCTTTTCTGGGTGTTGGGAAATGGGCTATCCAGCCCAGGTGGAAGGGCCCCCCGACACAGCCCCACTGAGGACTTAGGGGGAGTGGGCACACGCTGCAGGGCACGTGTAGGGAAGGTGGCTGGCTCTGGCTGATGAAAAGCAGGGGTGTCTTCACTGGTGTCCCTCCTTGGACCCGTGTGCCCTGACCCAGCGCTCCCACCTTCTGCATACACCCCTGCGCAGGAAGGGGGCCTGTTTTGGAGCCTCACCTATGTGACTGGAGGGGCTCAGAGGAGGAGGAGGATGGGGGCCCTAGAACCCGGGTCGGTCCCTGGACGCTCTGGCAGTGACCGAGTGCTGACGGAGGGCTGGGCAGGGAACAGTCCTTGCTGTCCTCTTGTTCCAGTCAGTGGGGTGCTGGAAACACTGACCAAGCTGCGGAGGGGTGTGGGTGACACTGGGAGCAGTGCTGGGAAGGGGTGTCTAGCACGTGGTCACAGGCGTGTCCACCATGCAGACACCAGACAGAAGTGAGAGCAAAGATCAGAAAAGTAAGACCATGTGCAGGAGAAGTTCTGAGTATTTATTGCTCTTAATACAGTGTGGGTTAAATTGAACTTTGGGCATGCGCTGCTTCTGAGTGTTTGTGTGGGGGGCTCTGGGGGGCCCGGGCTGGTGGGGGAAGGGTGGTCCCCCACAAAGGGGCTGGGTCTTAGGGCAGCACTCACACAGCCCAGCCTCTGTCTCTCCCTCACAGAGACTTTACGCCTGGACTCAAGCGGGGACGCGGACTCGGCCCAGCCAGGATGCGGGGGCGGCGTCCGCTGCGGACACCCTGCCGGGCAGCACAGACTCGGGTCTGAGCTGCGGGAGCGCGTCGGAGCCGGGCAGCAGCCTGTCAGAGCCCCTAACCCCTGACGCGGGGAGCCACAGCTTCTCCGTGGGGCTGGAGCTGGAGCACGAGGAGGGGCTGGGCTCGCTGGCCATCCCTGAGAGCCCGCCACAGCTTGGACCCCCGTGCGAGGCCATCGAGGAGCACGGGCAGTGGCTGGCGCTGTGTATCCAGGCCCTGGAGCGGGAGGTGACAGAGGAGGAGCTGGCGCAGGTGGACGGGGCTGTGGATGCCTTGGCCGGGTGGGGGATGTTTACGGGGCAGCTCCCCGCACCCCGGCCCGGCCTGCCCTGCAGACGCGACGGCCCGGGGCTGCGCAGGGTCCTGGGGGGCACGCTCTCCTCCCTGCGGAGGAAGCTGAGCACGCGCAGACTGGCCAGGGCGGGATCGTCTCCCTGTCGCTGGAGCACGGAGGAGAATTAACCCGGAAGCCCAACCGTCTTTCGCCGTGCACCCCCAGGATCAGCAGCAGTCCTGGGTCCTGTCCCCAGGGTCCCAGCAGAGAGTCTTCAGGCCCAGCCTGGACGGCACTGGGGGCTCTGGGCCTCCCTCGCCCACCCCACTGGAGCAGAGGCTGCCCGGGGCAGAAGCCAGGCTGCATGCCCGGGGGAAGTGAGGGGCTTATGGTGTGGCCGACCCCATGTGGGCAGGGCTGGCCCAGCCTTCTGAGCCTCAGGCTGCACGCGGTGCCTGCAGAGGCTGCCGGGCAGGGTCGCGGTGACCGAGGCCTTCCGTGTCCCTGACCTGGTCACCTGTCGTCCCCTGCAGTGGTGAGAGCAGTGTGGGCTATGGACAAGGGGTGCCGCTGGGGTCTCAGGTCCTGGCATTTACGGGGTCGTCACGGACTCCTAGGACTCCTTTTCATGCAGGCTGGGCCGAGGCGGCCAGCTTATCTGGGGTGTCTGTGTCCCTTTGCTTCTGTCACACGTTTCCTGAGCTGAAGCTTGGGCGTGCACAGGCGTCTGCCAGCTCCATCCTAGTTCTGTGTGTCTGTGCAGCGGTGGAGGGAAGGTTTCCGGACCTCAGCAGTGTGCCTACAGCTGCGTCTCCCTCCTGGAAAGAGACCAGACAGGGGTGCTCTTACACTCTGGGGCTAGCTTTACAGTCTCGGGGCTTTCCTAAGAAAAACTGCAAAATACAACCCAGATCGAGGATCTCCTCCCCCAGCAAGCAGGCCTGAAGCTTCCTGTCTGCAGACTCCAGGTAGGAGCACAGGGTCCCAGGCCTGCAAAGCACTGGGTGCAGGTGTGGGCTTGAGGTCAGGGAGGGAAATGGGGAGAAGCCAGCAGAGGAAGGCTTGTGCCTTGGGAGTTGTCGCCACGAACACAGCCCCCAACCTTCGTTCGTGCCTTAGAGCCCCAACCCTGTGCTTAGAGCTAAGGCATTTGCATTGGGGGCAGAAGTCTGTAGGAAGGAACGTCGGCTGCACGGAGGGCTGGCTCCTGGGGCTCATGCCACGGGCCCAGGACCTCCAGGAGCACCCCAAAATGCCGCTGCCCCTGTACCCCAGCATGGCTGTCACCCAGGTTCACAGGGAGGGGCCCTGGGACCCCTCCCTTTAAGGATGGTGGTGGCACTGTCAGGCAGAGCTGGGGTGAATGGGAACCTGCCCTATCCGTGAGCATGGCTTGGACTGGCCCTCCTGCTGCCTCAGTCACGTTACCTGTTTTCCAGTTTCCTTCCGTCTTCTGCAAAAGGTGGGTCTCCAGATGGTAGCGGAGAAGCTAGGATGTGGGTAGGGAGCACTCGGGGCGGAGCCTGGGCCATGGGCATGGCTGCCTGTCTGCTCTGCCTCTGGGCTGCAAAGGGACAGTGGTTTGAAAGCCAGCTGCTGGGGGGACATTGTGAGAATAAAACTTGGAGGAACAGAGGTTCCTTTTGGCACTGAGGAGGCTGGAGGGGTGGGGAGCAGTTTGGGACAGTCCCCGGGGCGGTGGCACACGTTATGCGAGCGGAACTGGGTATCGACACACCATGGCTCCCTAGGGGCCTGGTTTTTGTTAATAAACATACAAAGTGGACTGTATTGCCTTCGAGCTCTGTATCCGTCCCCAGTCCCCGTGAGTCCCACATGGGGCTAAAGATACTCTGGGGTCAAGACATCACGTGTATGGTGACTCCCGAGGGCGGGGCAGGGGCGCTGGGAACCTACCTGCCTTCCGAAGCAGCTTCAGCACCCATCTAAACCGTTCTGATGAAGATGGGTATGGTGGCAGCCTCCTCTCCCAGTGGCCACTCCTCCCTGCCCCCGGGTGCACCCTGCGGGCCCAGGAGGGCCCTGCTGCCCCACCCCCTCACAGTTCCAGAGTATGGGTCAGAAGGTGGCTGTGGGCCTGCCAGCAGTCTCATGGGACAGCGGATTCAGACCTTTCCCGGAGGAATGAACTCTCGAAAAGGCTTGAAAATAACCCCAAACATGCCATGCCTTGGCCAAGCAGCTAATGTTGAAGCTAAGAGTCCAAATTTAGATCCCATCAAGTTCAAAAGAGCAGCTACACCATTCCAGGGGTGCGCACACGTGCCCACACTCAAGGTCTGAGCCCGGGGCCTTGAGAAGCTGCTTTCAAACCCGACAGGCAGGGGCGGCTGAGGACCCCAATCTACCCGGGAAGGGACAGGCCCATCTTCCTGCAAAGAACCCGCCCCTTCGAGCAGGTCCATCTAGGCCGCAGGGACGTGTGCCCGTCCCTTATCCCATGCTGCGAGGCTGGAGGGCACACTGGCCCATCTGCTTCCAGCTCCGCGGAAGCATGCAGGGGAAGGCTGAGCAGGAAGCGGAGTCGGGGCCCCCAGCGACGAGGTTCCCAGGAGGCTCCGGCTGCCGCAGCACGTGGCTTGGGGGCAGCACTCTGGGGCAAGGGCAGCAGGACTCGGGCTCCGTGGACTGTCTGTCCAGAGGGGCCAAGGCCCCAGCTGAGTCCGAGTATCCCGGGGAAGGCCAGTGGTGGAGGGAGGACAGCAGGGCTTTCTCGGGGGGCTCTTGAACTGGACCCAGGGCTGCGGAGGCCGCTGCAGCCCGGGAGGACTCCCCCTCGCGGTGGGGCAGCTATGCATGGACAGGAACTGGATTTCAAGGATGCCAGGGTATCGCAAACTTGAGGCCCTCAGAGAGCGAGCGGATGCCACAGGGTAACTGGGAGTCTCGGGCAGAACCAGCCAAGGCGGCCCCCACTGCCCTTCCCAGAACCGCCCAGCAGCACCTGGACTCATGAGAACCCGGAACACCTGCGTGTTATTTTTGAACTCTATTCTTGGGCACAGACACAAAAACAAGTTAGTCTGGGGTTTAAAAAAGCAATTTCCAAAAAACCTCCAGGGGCCACGAGGCGCTCAGTCTACCCCTGCCCTGTGATGACCCATGTGACCCACGGAGTCGCTCACCAGAGGTGGCTCAAGGGCGCAGCCTGAGCCCCAGCTGACCTGCAGCCGGCCTCCACCTCCTGGGTCAGAAATGACCCCAGGCACCCAACGAATGAACCAGAACCACCATCAACGAGGCTCCCTGTGAGGCCATGCAACTACCCCGAGCCTCTTGACACGCTTGTGAGGTTCTGGCCATAAGGCCAGGCCCAGTGTCCCCTGTCCTCGGGCCGCTCCTGCACATGGGCCACTGCGCTGCTTCTCTGGCACTGTCCCCTCCCTCCCAGCAGCTCTCTGGCTAGACCGCAGCCTCAGTGTCGCCTCCAGGCTGCAGGGAACATGAGACCTTCCAAGTCCCATTGACATGCTGAGCACCGTGTCACATTCCTCACAGTGCTCGACTTCCCATTTGTAAGGCTGTGTCGTGGGTCTCTCACCGGCCTGAGGTCTGTGGGGACCAGGCAGGACACCAAGTCCCGCTTGCCACCAGCTCCCCGCCAGCGTGGCACATGGAGACACACTCACCTGCCCTGGAACAGGTGTCCGATCGAGCAGAGGGCTTCTGGGCTGGAGGATCCCGTCTGAGGTGGATGTCACTGTCTTTTCCCTCATTTGCACTTTTGGCAACAAATGGAGATTCGCTGTCTCTTGCCGCACCAGCTAGAGTGAGAGCAGAATTTCAGAGGGAGTGTGCCGGACCCTTCCGTGAGGATGGGCCTTCTGCCGTGAGCCCTCAGGCCGGCTTGGTGCCTTCTTCCCTCGGCCCACCTGGGGGGATGCTCCCGGGGGCTGCACTGGACAGACGGGCGAGTCACAAGCTGGGGGACAGGGCTGGGAGCACGGGGGTCCTGGGAGAGAGCACTGTGTGGGGCCTGAGTGTGCAGAAAGGGGCTTTTCTCAGAGAAGCCACCTTGTGTCACGGGCAGGACCCGCAGGAGCTCGGTCGCCTGCCCGAGGCATGAAGCACGGAAGAGGCAGGGAGGGGCCAACACCCCTGCGGCACTATTCCCCATGCCCTCTGCTCTGGGGCCACCCTCCCCAGCCCGTCCTGCCCCCGCAGCCCTCGCTCGTGGCCCCCACCACATCCCGATCCCAGGAGCTCCTGGCATGACCACCGGACTGGCATCGTCCATGCTTATGAATGTCCCACAGCCAGGGGGAAATTCGCCGGGTCGTGGGTGTCTTAGTTCCAGGATTCCCGAGGAGCCTTGGACATGCGGAGTAAACCCTACGCAGTTCAGATTTTCTGGAGCGCTTCTGAATTATGTTTTTATTCTTAAACTTAATAAATGCTGTCAATGCACGTGAAGAAAAAGCCCAGTGTGGGGGACGTACTGGAAGCCCAGCTGCAAACGAGAGAATTCATCCTCTGAACCGAGCAGGCGCTCCTTCCTGCGGGGATGCAGGGTGCCCGCCCACCCACCAGGCTTGCAGGTGCACAGGGCGCGGGGGCGAACGGGAGGGGTTAGGAATCCTACTTGTCACACTGGCTCACTCCCTTTCCTGTGTTTCCGGGGGCAACCAAGGTAGGGCTGGTGTTTCTCTTTATGCTAACACTACCGAGGCATTTTCCTGCCTCGAGGTCGGGGCTCCACACTGTCGCCCTGCTGCTTGCTCCTGCTGGGGGTGGCACCGAGAGGATGAGCGGGCAAACAGGAACGGGGAGGGCCTAGATCCGAGGCCATGAGCATCCACTCACCATACCTTCCTGTGGCCACATGCCCACGAGACCCAGCGGGAGGCCTCGGCTTCTGCAATGGCGTCTGCCCCACGAACCATGCACTCTAGGATCCATGGTCACCTGTGTTTTTCCATCCTAGAGTTGTCACCTGCTGGGGCCGCGGGGCAGCGGGAGCTGGTGTTTGGCCAAACGCTGGGAAAGCAGACAATTTAAAGCAAGTTGTAGTAGATTTATCAAAACCCCATACAGAGAAGGCGGTACAGCCGCCACTGTGGCCATACAGTGCATCTCTACCCTTCAGGTAGGTACGCTCACCTGGCATATGGCGCTCACAAACGCAGGCCTCCAGGTGGCACTGTGGGCAGGCTCGGCTCTGCGTGATCTTCCAGGATGGTGCCCGTGGCGGAGTGGGCAGCCGCTCCTCCCAGAGTTTCCCTCAGTGAAGCCCGCGGATGGGCTCTGAGCTGCGTTTCCACAGGAACACTGATGCCGCCACACCGGCCCTGCCCTTCGTGGGGTCCTCTGGGCACTCAGCCCTGGGAGTGCTCAGGGTGGGCAAGGAACGCTGCATTGGGTCAGAGGATAACCTGCCAAATTCAGTTGGTTTGAATGGAGTTAAGAAAAAGAATATTTGGAAGAGGTCCAAAAGTGATTCTTTAAGATTCTGGAATAGAAAGATCTGTTTTAAATTGCTTCGTAAGCAGGCGAGTCTAGCAAGAGCTCAACTCCAAACAGGATAAATGGTGGGGGAACGGCCAAAGTTGTGCCCCCGCCCGCCACCCACAGACCACAGTCAGAGAGCTCTGCCTACGCGTCAGCAGGGGGGTCTGAAAGGTGCCTGGGCTCGCCCAGACCGCCTGGCCGACTCCCAGGGCAGGTCCCCAGTCCCTCAGAGGACGGACAGCTTGTTGCCGACAGCTGGCAGGGACCGGCGTCTGGGGAGGGTAGCAGGGTGGACAATGGGGGGCAGGCCCCCAGTGTCACCCAAAGCTGCGGAGGCTTCTGCGGAGGCCGTTCCTGGAGGAATAGGGGCATGTGGGCACAGCTGGGCGCAGGCACTCCCCCGAGTGCTCCCGGCCCGTCAGTGGCAGGACAGATGGTCTCTGGCCCCGGCTTTAGGGCAGAGACCGTGGGTCATGAAGCGGGGCCTCCCAGCCTCCCGGCTCTGTCTTCCTCCTGGGTGGCCACTCTGACGGCCTCTGGCACAGCTGGCCCAGAGCTGGGGGAAGGGGCCGTCCAGCTCTTTTCCGCCCTGTGGCAGACGTCAGGGCAGCCTTACCAGACTACGTGTGGTCCATGCAGGCCCTCAGGCAAGGGATGTTCCCACAGGGAAACTGGACTGCGGCTGTGGTTGGCTGGGACTCTGTTCACTTGGGGGAAATACATCAGCTTTTAAAAACACAAACTAAAGTGAACTCACAGTTAATAAAAAGGCCTCGAAGCGATAGGCTGGGAACAAGGGCCCCTTGCTGTGACAGAACAGGAGCCACTGGAGAAGGGACATCCTCCCCGCGGCATGGCGGGTCTGGCTCGTAGGCGCGCTGGCCCAGGCCCTGCTCCGTTCCACACCCTGCCCCATGCTCCGGCGCAAAGCGGCCCATCATATGCCTATAAGCGCTGTGACGCAACACGTGCCAGCTGGTGAACTGTCCTCATGAACCAAGCGAGCTCCTTTCCTCGGGGGACCTGACACCTTTCTTGTCAGCGCCGAGCAGGGCCTCATGAACGACACTAGAGCCCAATGTCCCCACACGGGGCTCTCAGCCCCCTGAGCTGCAGCACCCGCCACCTCCCAACCAGGACTGGCGGCCCTGACGCCAAGTCAGCGACACACAGAACCACATGCACCAGCTCCCTCAATTTCCAGGGAATGTTCCAGAACAAGGCCCCTAAGGCACATCAGACATACCTTACAGAGAAGACAGGACCAAAAGATTAGAGACTGCCCAACGTTGGGAAAGGCTCGGCCAGAACTCGCTCTCCAGAGAAAACCCACCACTGCTTTCTTGAGGCGGGCTGCTGGTCCCAGTGAGGGGCAGAGCTGGTGGCCTTGAGTTAGATCATGAAGGAGAATTCTCACTGAGCTAAGCACAGAATCCTGCCTGGGAGAAACCCTCTAGGACCTCAATCTGCTTGGACCATGTTCCTACCAGATGGGCCCGGTCTGGGTGGCTCAGCCTGGGGCCTCTGTAAAGCTCGTCGGGGGATCTGACTGCGGTGCCCGCGTGAACCACTGTCCTGTCCGGCGTTGACACGTGTTGAAATTGGGACCCAAGAGCTCAGCCCATAACCCACAGCCCTGGGGTAACACAGAGCACGTAGTATGCTCACTGCCGGCGCTTTTCTTGGGTGGGGGGGTCTCTACCCTTCCCACATATACATGTACATCGCGGGGCTCCCCCAAGCCATGGCCGCTGGACAGCACCCGCAGGCCCCTTTCTGGAAAAGACCGCAGTGTGACAGAGAACCTCGGGGTGGGGGGGGTGGTCAGGACAGCAGACTCCCTACCTGCCCCTCCCTCTGGCGCCCTCTAGTCGCAGAACTTGGGCTGCGCCAAGTGTCCATCTGCAGATCCCTCTCCTCAAGCTCTCAGACCTCAGAACTGCATGTACGGCCTCCCTCCCTCACCGCATGCGAGGGCCGCGCATGTGTGCACACACACGCACGCAATCGTCTCTGTGTACAAGACACTTTTATTAGCTCTGAAGCGGTGTTCCAGGTGGTGTCCACACAGCATGCTCTCGGAAATAAAAGCCGGTTATCGGATAGTAAACCTTCAAGTCCGGTTTGGATTGGCATTGCTGGGCTCTGAATTTAGAGGACTGGAAATCTGACATGATGATTCGGTCTGAATGTGAAGGATAGTGCTTAACGGACACCCAGAGCAAAGGCGGTTGTCACCACACTGGACCCTTCAGCCAAGGCTCGCGGGAGTGAGGTGGGAGCCACGCGTTGGCTGTGTGGGCTGCATGCATCCCGGGGGCGCCTTCCCCCCACAAGTCTCACTGAGTCCATGTCCGCCTGTCCCCAGGATGCCCAAGTGAGGTGGTCCTAATAATCTTGGAGAGTATTTTTGGATCTCGGAAATAAAAGAATCGGACTTATTTTTCTTTTATCCAAGAAGTTAGAAGAATATGGATGCTGGAGATCACTGTACATCACCAGGCTGAACAGAAAGTCTCAGACCGTTTCTCTATAAATAGAAAAATATTTCCAGGAAAAGCCTACATGTGTCGTTCTATGTAAACAGTAGAACTAAGAAGAAAGATCTTATTTTGAGGAAGTTTATTGTTACATTTTTGCAATAATAGATGAGGCACGACTATCTCCTGCTTCTCCAACAACTCAATAAAAAAGACAATAATCAAGGATAACAGTGAAGTTAAAATAAAAAAAATACAAAAGCCGAAGGTTTTGGAGACAAAAACTACAGTCTATGTGTGGGAAAGCTGTGAATGGTTTTAGCCGAGCCTTGCAAAGTTTCCTTCCCCAATTCCAACGAACCCCAGAACTTCGAGCTGGGGCCTTCAGAGACCGCTCCCCCAAATGCCCAGGGACCCAGGGCGCAGCGCCCGCCCCGCTCTCCACGCAGCTCAGCACCCAGCCCTTCCTGCTTGTGAGTGTCCACTGTGGGCTCAAGGGGCCGGAGCATGGCGCACATGGCCGGTGGGGCAGCGTGGCCAGTGGCAGCTGGTGAGGCCCTGACGGAGACTTGCGAGGAGGGCACACCACGCTGGGGACCGGGCTGGAAGGACCCCAGACCTCCCTGAGGGAGCCTGCCAAGAGTGCTCCTTTTCCTTTAAGCCACAGTCATCGGCACGGAGCTTGGGTCACATCAGTCAGTCTATGAAGCAAAACAGGAACAGCACTGTTCTTTCCCAGCCAAGGGAACCAAAACGCCAACATCCACGGACACAAAGTCTTGAGCACCGAAAGAGAAAGGCTCTCCCGTTGTTTCCTCATTAAGAACACTGATAACAAGGATGACTCCGGAGAAGGTTGTGCTCCCTCTCCCTGACCCCAGATGGGTCAGCATCTGCCCCAAGATGCGCGTTTCCCTTGCTTGCTGGAAAGGAGCCAGGAGGGAGATGCGACAGGGACACGGGACCGGGAAGAGGGCGCCCGGGGATGGGGGCCTCACAGCTGTTACTTGGCCACAGTAACGGGCCAGTGTTGGTTAGCCGAAGCAGTCCCAGCACAGAGGACAGACCGTCCTAGGAGAGGGACGCACGGCGGGACCAGAATGGGATGCAGTGTCCTGAAGCCAGGGAGAGACCTGCACAGAGCTAAGGGGCCAAGTGCACAGAGAAGGACATGTGTCCACCCATGCCCACACTCACGGGCTTGGGCAGCTTCTCCCGGACGAGAGCTATGTCCGGTGGTGTTTGCTGGTGATGTGTGTACACGGATAGAACAGAGACCTTGGTAAGGATCAAGACCTCAGCACAGCTGAGTGGGGACTGGCTCTCCGAAGGCATCGGGGTGGCGGCAGTCTGCAGAAACTCGGAGAGTCTGGGCTTTTGGAAAGGTCAGCTGTGGTACTCACAGAGGTCTGCTAGGAATCCTGCCAGTGTTCAGAAGCCTCAGAGGAAGAGGAAGCACTCTAGCACCTTCCACAAGGAGGGAAGGCTGATACAGCCCAGTGCTGGTGCCGGAGGGGTGGCGTAAGAACAGGGGGAGGCCAGGGAGAGGGTGGGCGGGTGCGTGTAACAGGCACGCCCCCCGCCAGCTCTCCAGCCGTGGGGCATTAAGGCAAGCCCACGCCCACCCTCTAAAGCTGGGGGCCCCTGGCCGCATCTCGGGTGCCTGGACCAGGGTCTCTCAAGGAACTGGCACCAGGTTCTACAAGGCAACGCATGTGCTCTGGGAGGGGCACGGAGACACCTGCTCTTCTGCAAACCACCATCAGGACAAGCACTCGGGCTCATCTGTCTCACGGAAGACTTGCACATTAGAGGGAAAAGCCACCTGCAAGGCTAGCTGTTTGTGTTGCGTTACCAAGTGTGTGTGTGCGGGCACGTGTGCACAGCCGCCGCGCACACACAGTCCTCGATTAAACGGTGTCAAAGAAGGAATACAGTTTCTGTAAAGAGAGAGAAAGCTGTGTTACTAGGTATTACGTGTTAATACCAAAGTGACCCCTTGGATTCTCAGTAGTTTGACTACGCCCCGGGTTCAGTAGCTAACATCCCAGTGACCATGTCCCTGGGCCTGGAGTGCGGCGGCGTGGCCCGTGTGGCCGGCGTGGCCAGTGCGGCGGCACTCCTGAGCCCGGCGCCGGCGGCACGGGCCCGAGAAGCGCCCTGTGGCCACCGAGGCTGCTGCGGGCGGCGGAGAGGGGCGTCCCCTCACTGCAGCATGATGTCCTTCAGGTTCTCCTGCAGGATGGTGTCCTTCACAGCGTGGAACACGAAGCGGATGTTCTCCGTGTCTATGGCGGTGGTGAAGTGGTGGAAGAGGGGCCTGCTGCGGTTCCGTCTCTTGCGGTCGAAGCCCTGCACCAGGAAGCGCTGCACGTCCTCCAGCCTGTGCGGGTCGCCCTTGAAGTCCGGGAAGTGCTTCTTGATGCTCACGGTCTTGACCTTCTCCACCAGGAGGTCCATCTTATTGAGGAAGAGGATGATGGAGACGTTGAAGAACAGCTTGTTGTTGACTATGGTCTCGAAGATGTTCATGGACTCCACGAGCCGGTTGGTGCGCCTGTCCTCCATGAGCACCTGGTCGAACTCACTGGAGGACACCATGAACAGGATCGATGTGATCCCGTCGAAGCACTGGAACCACTTCTGGCGCTGGGACCGCTGGCCGCCCACGTCCACCATCTTAAAAGGGATTTTTTTAATAACGAAGTCATGTTCCACAATGCCCTTGGTGGCTTTCCGTGCCAGCAGAATGTCCTGCTTGCTGGGAAAGTAATTCTGTAAAATACGGGAGAAGGGAGAAGTTGAGCAGGAGAAGAACCTGGGAAAATAAGGATCAAGAGTCCGACAGACTTGGGCAAGAAGCTGAACCAAATGCCAAAAGCCACTCCCATCTGTACCATCAGACACTGGCACAGAACAGAAGTGAAGGAGTGAGCGGCTTGTTTCGGGCGCGCAGAGGCTCCCCAGCCCGAGGCAGGCTGCTGGCATCCCCGCTGTCCGCTGCAGCCAGACCCTCACCGTGCTCCTGTCCACAGGAGCCGACCGCCGGGTCTGTTTCTGCCCACACCCACCTCTGTACTTCCTGACTTCAAGAGCGTGAGCGTTCCCAAACCTTACTGTGAACCAACCTAATCTAGGTTTGCAAAGCCGGCTAGAGTTAGTTGGCCGTATACGTAATTCGTCATTCTGGGAAGCCTTCCACAACCGTGGCGCTGCCCAGTTAAAACCTTCCGCGAGCACTGTGCAATCATGTGGGCAGCAGACCCGCTAAAATCCAGACAGGGACAAGGCGGCCTCAGGGTCCAGAGACTGTGCACACGGACACGGGGCACAGAGAGGCCTCCTGGCTAACGCTGTAGGGAAGGGACAGCGATCCGCACGAGAGGCCCCCACGCAGGAATGATCCAGCTACTTCACCACAAACTGGGAGAAAAAGAAAGACGAGGGGGAAACCTACAGAGTAGAAGACATTTGAGAGATATGACCCAACCGCAAAAGATGGACCTTACGAGGGCTCGGACTCCAACCGCGCACGGGAACATGCTAATGAGCGCCCCAGGCAGACGCCCGAGCGGACGGACGGCAGGCGAACCTGGGGCACGCTGTGGTGTCTCAGGAGCAACACCGGCAACAGGGGCAGAGGCCTGGACGGAGCCGTTACTGAGAGACGACGTGAGGATGCGTGCGCTCTGGGAGGGGGTACTGGCCCAGGGGCTTGTCCGACGATCTGTCCTGTGTGTGTGTGTGTGTGTGTGTGTGTGTCCCATCACAAAATGTTAAAGGAAATCCTCTGTTCACTAATGCATCCCTGTGTCCTCTGCGGTAGAGCGAGAATGGGAGGTGGAAACGCTCACAGCGCGCACGGACATTCCCTCTGCTCTGACACAGTCGGGAGCTGAGTGAGGGCAAGACGCCACGGCCCCGTCCGCAGTCATCGGACGCGGGGCACCCAGGGACGCTGTGCGCACCTGCGTGCCGGGGGCCCCTCCAGCTTTCACACATGCGCTTCCTACCCCTGGCTTGTGGCTCTCGGGGCGCGGGGGCTGGGGTCTGTACTCACCAGCTGGCCGATGCGGTCCAAGTTATCCAGAAAGTACTTCACCGACTCACCCTGTCATGGAGGAAAAACATGCACGACTCAGTCTTGGTGGAGAACCCTGATGTGGCCGCTAGGAGAGGACAACGGATCACGTGAGTGTTATTTCGCCTCTATATAATGGGAAGGCAGAGAGACTAAGCGCGTACAGGCATCTTTAAAAAGTAAAAACACAGTCGAAAACATTTTTAAATGCAGTTTCCCTAGGATTCAATTCAGACTGTGTTTTTAAAGCACCTGGGTGAGTCTGGTGACAGGCAGGGTGCCGGCCCCTATGACTGGGCTAATTCTCCCTTTCCAGATGTGTGCACTGGCCGGCGCCCCGTGAGCAGTCCTGCATGGACAGAAATGGCCCAGGCCACTGCAGACGTGGTCTCTAGAGAGGGCGAATCTTCCACAACAGAACTGGCACCACACACTTTCTAGGTTCTGGAAACAGGCCTGACATTCCATGACGACTCCCCACGTCTGTATGACCTGATTCATAGCCTTGAGCAAGGAGAACCTTCTGGCTGGATTCCTGTGGTGGAACAGTGAACCCACCGCCCCCCTGGATGTCCTCTGCCCTGAACGCAGATACAGACAGACACTGGTCTACAGCCAACGTGCACCTTACGATCACCCAGGGCCTGTCTCAGGAAAAGCATTTAGAGGGCGTTCAAACATGGACTGAAGGGAGTGGAACAGGGGAAGGGGTGAGTGCACAGGTGCGGCGACTCTCCCCTCAGAAGTGGAACGTAGATGAGTCCTCACACCCCACACGGAGTCCGCACATGGAGGACACAGCTTCCCACAGGCTCCCTTACGTGGGCCCGGGCACAGGCACACTAGGGATGCCCACATGCGCTTGCACAGAAGCGGGCAGGGGACAGGCTGACGCTCTAGACTGTCACGGAGGATACACCATCGGGGAGACAAGGGTTTACGGCTCAAGTCTGTGACTTTATATAAAATAATAGAGAAAACAGATACAAATGACAGGAGCAGTCAGCCTCCAACAGGTCTAAAGGAAGACAGAAAGAGGCAGCTTCCTTCGATGGGAGTCAGCCGTCCTGTTTTATGACAACAGCCTTTGGAGGATTCGCAAAAGAGCATTTTTAAGAGGGACAGAAATACGCATCACACACACACTCAGGCACAGAGGAAGATTCACAAATGCAGTTCTCCTCCCAAAGATCGGGGTGTGGTAGGCACAGTCTGCTCTCTGCTCTAGGGACACACAGGCAGGGGAGACGGCACCTGGAGCTCCAGGATGGAGCCCTCAGTTCCCGGCACCCAGCCTCTGCCACTCTGCCAGCCACACCCTTCGGCGCCTGTCCCCGTCCAATGCCAGCTTGGGGGTGGGGACAGCCATCTCTGCAGCATGAGGCAGCTGGTCTGCTCGTCCCACTGCCTCCCCTGCAGGACAGGATAGCGTGAGGCAGCTGGTCCATGAAGGGGTCGAGACAAACCCATCCGATCCGTGACTTCCCCCAGAACCCTATCTCTCTCAGCCCCCCGCCTCCTGGCCAGAGACTCTGCAGGTGCAAGGAGAGCTGACGAAGACGCCATCGGTGTCTGTGCACCTGGAGGCCAGCTGGTGGCAGCCCCTCCCAGCCCAGGCCACCCGGGGCCGCTCTGAGGTGTGCCATGGTGCCAGGCAAAAACAGGAGGAATGGCCTGGGCCCGACCAGGGCTCGGTGGAGGATGAAGTCACGGCAGTGCTGATGGCCTGGCCAACGTTCTGTCACCATGGCGTGACAAGCGTCCTGCGGAAACACCGAGATGTGTGTGCTCACCCCATGGCACAGGTGTAAAAGGAGAAGTGCTCCTGAGAACAAGCTAAGTATGAAGTACGAGAAAAGCGGGAAAGTTTTAAGTCCCAGTTTGAATGGAAAGATCCCTAGTGAGCTTGAAGTCAGGGTCGCCCCACCTGTGCTCCAATGTTAGCATCCTTTCACTCCTTCAAAGGTACAGGAGTTATCTGGGATTCTCTCCACTGCCTACAGGCGCATGAGGAGGGGACCCAGTCTTGAGCCTGGCTAGGCTCTTCTTGGAGCTACCTCATGGGTCCACGTGAGAGCTGCTCCAGAGCTGTCTGTCCACGGAGCTCTGTCACGGGGGGAGTGGCCAGTGGGGAAGAGGAGGGCAAGTTCGTTCAAACCAGCCCTGCCAGGCTGATTGGGAACTGTGGTTTGGACACTGTGGCTTGCCGTCAGGGACTGGGATGTACGCCATCATGTTCGACACACAGCCTACGGAATGATCATTCACACGGGCTTCAAGGTTCCCAGAGCATCAGCCCCTTAAAACGTCCAGGTTTAAATTCTGATGGATCTCCAACCCTGGGGGACGGAGTCATGGCGAGTGGCAGGAATGAAACTGCCCCCGTGGGATGAACCACTCAGCGCCTGCTGCAGACGGACTGTGCCCCCCAGCCCCATCAGGTGCTGAAACCTAGCCCCCAGGTCCTGTCATTGAGCAGCGGGGCTCTGCGGGGTAGAGCCCCCATGAATGGGGTCAGTGCCCTTATAAAAGAAACCCCAGAGCGCTGTCTCATGAGGACACAGCGAGACGACGCTGTCCGTGAACCAGGAGGGGGCTCTCACCAGACCCTGAGTCTGTGGGCACCTTGACCTTGGGGTTTCCACCTTCCAGAATATTTCTCACAATCACAGACTAGGTTATGTTTGCCAGCAGACCAAACCAATGAAGATGGCACCTTAACAAAAAGAGTATCACATGTGGTGAAAACAGTCTTGGGGTGCCCTCGGTAGTCACTGCAGTCGCGGGGTCCGATGATAAAGAGTACGTGACAAATGGGCTTTTTCTAACCCTACCTGGTCTGAACTTCTTTAACACCACGGGTGCATGGATCAGACAAGACAGAATCTGCTAGCCTATGCACAGAGGCCACCGGGCACATGCTCGATGTCACACTACTTTCCCGACCCAACTCCCAGCAACACGTGCATTTTCTTTTTTCTTTTTTTTTTTTTTTCTTTTTTTTTTAAAGATTTTATTTATTTGACAGACAGAGATCACAAGTAGGCAGAGAGGCAGGCAGAGAGAGAGAGGAAGGGAAGCAGGCTCCCTGCTGAGCAGAGAGCCCGATGCGGGGCTCGATCCCAGGACCCTGAGACCACGACCTGGCTGAAGGCAGAGGCTTAACCCACTGAGCCACCCAGGCACCCCAACACGTGCATTTTCATCACCACCAGCTGGATGGGTCTGGGGGTGCTCGTGGTGGAGAAGAGGGCGGACCAAGCAGCAGTGGGACTTTCTGGGGTGCTTGCAATTGTGACACATAGGGGCGAACGTGGCCAAAGACAGTGGGCAGGGTGTGGACACACCACACCTGTAAAGAGAGTAAGCTTTTTGGCCAGTGGGCTCTCTTCTTCACAATGTCTTCCCTGGAAGCACCCATGACCCACACCTGCCGACTCATCACATGTGGTGGCCTTGCTGCTGCTTTGAAGCTTCTGTCCCCACAACCAGCCCCAGCCCCCTATACACCCATCTGTCGTGTGCTGATGGTCCCTGCGTTACGAACCAGCCCCGTCAGTGGATGTCAGCGGACCTCGTGCACCTCATCCACCTAATTCAAGACCTTGAGAGAACAGACTCGACTCTCTCACTGCCGCAAAGACCAGGCCATCAAGATCAGTATTTCAGGTCGACTGGTCACACCTGTTTTCCAGCTAGAAGTGAGACACGTTCTCCCACACCCTTGGCTCAGGTCCTGCTACTTGCTCCCCCAGTGCCGTGGGCTGACAGATGCACAGCGGAGGTGAGGGCGAGGAGTACCCGCTGGGTGAGAACCACGCTAAGTGTGAAGGCGGAGACAGGGACATCAAGGGACAGCAGTTACAAAGAGAAACACGAATCTGCACTCAGGGCTGGTGCCCTTTCAGTTTGAAAGCCTATCTCTGCACGCATGAGTTGTCCTTAAAGCTCCTGGACCCGGTGAAGTTGATTCTGTGTTCCAAAATGGGGTCAGTCACATGGGATGGAGACACGGGCTTGTCAACGGTGAGGCAGAGGACTTAGAAGTTTACTTCCTTTGTTTAAACATAACAAATTACAAACACAAATTTTAAAACTGCTGTATATTAGGAACAACAACGATGTATTTGAAAGGTCAGATTTCCCTTCTCGTTACTTAATAAATATCAAATTTAAGACATAACTTTGGCTTTATGCAAAAACCAAATGTTGTTTGGCTAACTAAACAACGTTTGAATATAGAACTTCTACAAATACTTAAAAAAGATGATCTAACTCCCAAAAGAAAACCCTTCACTTGAATTTGGGATTTGCCAATACCTATGACATCTCACCGGGTCTTGTGAGAGTAAATGGTATCATAGCTGTGACAGTACGGAAAAACATAGAGCATCATATTAATACACATCATACAAATGGAGATTCTCAAATTTTAACCCGGATTCCTATAAATTGTCTGCTGCTAACTTGTAATCATAAAATATTAGGTACAAGATTCACTATAGCAGCTCTACAATATCCAAAGCCCAGGGAGAACCCAAGTGTCCACAGACAGAAGGAAGGCCGGCTGGACAAAGCACGTTTTCTTCACGCGGGGAGTCAGACGCGGTTGCGGAGAGCGGATGCCTGACACACCGCTACATGAGAGAAGGGGCAAAAGAGAAAGTCTCCTTGTGTATAAGAAATGGTGGCAAAATTGAAACAGTTGCTATTTGCTTACATTTCAGAAAGGAGACACCGAAAGATAAACCAGCAAGTGATAAAAGTGGCGAGGTACAGGGAAGGGGAGAACAGGGGAGGAGGCACAAGGGTAGAACCTAGACGTCGCGGAATGCATTTTGACTTTGGAACCATACAGGTATCTTGTATGATTAAAAAAAGAAAATTTTTAAAAACAACCACACTCAGAATGGAAACCAAACTACAACAAGTGAACCTAACAGTGTGTCAAGTGGGGGCAGAGCCCGGGACGCTGGCGGCCTTGCACGTCTGCCCCAGAACGTGCGGGTGTGGAGGAAGCCGGCCCAAGG